GGTCATCATTGCTGTCGCTCAGCTCCTCTTGCCAGCTCTCCTCCTCATCGCTACCGGCAGGTTCGATCGTACGAGGAGGCAAGCGAGGCATCCAGGTCCATCCCACTTGAAGACATCGTCTGTCCTCTCAGGTTGGCGACGAGTGTCTACCCTGATGCGATGGAGAGCGGGTGCTATCGGCGATGTTATGCAGATGATGATTATGATGATGTTGTTGATTCAATTGATTCTGGTTGGAAACACAATGGAGAGGAGCATGATGTTGTTCTTTAAGGCCCCAGACCAGCTCAGCTGTGGCCAGTCGATTAATCAGAGGAGCTCTCGGTGAGAATATTACCGATGCGGAGCAGCGACTGACTAAAGAAACAGGCAAGCGATGATGATGATGATGACGACGACGATGATGATAATGACGATGACGACGACGACAATGCTTTCCTCCAGCCCCTCCCTCCCCTCAACCCCGGCCCCTTCCTCCTCCTTTCCTTCGCTGTCTCTCTCTCTGCCTCACTCCCTCGCTCTTTACCATCAACACGCATGAAACTTCTCCCCTGTCTTCCCTTTCCCCTCCCTCGTCACTTGAGCGACGTGTCGTCGTACAGGACCATACAAGAGGGCAGCAGCATCGCCATCGCGTCGAGGCCGTTCTGAGTCACGAGTCTGCACCTGCACCCCCGTCAGAGCCCTCAGGAACGGGGGTGGTGACTTACCCCCTGACGTCCAGCACTTGTAGATAGGAACAGTTCTGTGCTAACTGCATGACTGACGTGTCGGAGAGCTGCGGAGAATCTTGTTCAGCAGCGGGAGTACCCTCACCCATCCTCCTCCTCCCTCCTCCTCCCTTCTCTCACTCTCACTCTCCCTCTTCCCTCCACCACCTCCCTCCCCTTCCTCCCTTCTGCCTCCTCCTCTCCCCCCCCCCTTCTTTCTTTCTACCGTCTGCCCTTCTTCATTCTCCACCTCGTACCTTGCTCCTCGTCCCAGTCCTCCTCCCCTTTCCTTTGCTCCTCCTCAACTCCTCTTGCTTCCTTTTCCTGTCCTCCTCCTTCCTACCGCATCCTCTTCCCTCTTCCCTCCTCCCTCCTCCCTCCTCCCTCACCTTCACGCATCCTCTTCCCACAAGCTCGACCAGCAACGGGCAGTTCCGCGCTACCTGCTTCCTCCTTCAACCTCCTCCCCCAGCACTGGCACGATACTGACCTGCACGAAGCTGTGGTCGGAGAGCTGCACGCACCAGGCGAGGAAGAGCCTCTGCAGCCACCTAATCCCTCCCCTCAGCTCGACTCGCTGCTCCTGGTCTCCCTCACCTGCATCCCCGCGACAGCTGCCAGATCGCCGCGTCCTGCAGGCACAATGTCATGGTGGGGAATGGCATGAGAAGCTACGGGAGGACGGAGGAGGACGAGAGACCGTTCTTACAGCGCGTTTGATCCACAAGAACGAGGAGGACAGAGGATGGAGCGTGGAGGAGGAAGGAGGAAGGAGGGAGAACGAGCAGATCGACAGGAGGGCGGGGGAGAGAGGGGGGGGGGGGGCTAAGGGAATGTCACCTGCAGCCCTGAGATAGAAGTGAGGTCGATGATCGTCAGTGCCTCACACAGCCGAGAGAGCTGAAAGAGAAGCCGTAAGGGGATGCCTGTAGGACCCTGCTGCTGCCGCTGCTCCTGCCTCCTCCAACCTCCTCCTCCCCCTCCCCCCGACCTCCCTTGTCGCTCCACATCCGTTGGACCTGATCCACCTCCACCTTTCTCTCCCTCCTCCCTCTTCCTTCCTCCCTCCTCTTCCTTACTCTATTCACCTCCTTCCTCGTTCCCCTCCCCTTCCATTCAGTTCTCCCCCCTTCCTTCCTCCTCTTCTCCTCACCTGTATGACAGACATGGTAGTCGTGCCGGTAAGGCATCCAGCGAGGCTGAGGCGCTTGAGTCTGGTCGCTAGTGAAATCCTGAAGCCGAGAGGAGGAGGAGGAGGAGGTGGTGGTGGTGGTGGTGGTGGAGGAGGAGGAGGAGGAGGAGAAGGAGGAGCAGGAGGAGGAGAGGCGGCAGCGGCAGGGAGAACTTCAAAATGGGTTGAAAGAGACGAGGCAATGGGAGGAGGTTGCGAGGAAAGAAACAGGCACAAGGCGGAGCAGGACGAGAAGGGGGGGAGGAGGCGAAAGAAGGGAAGGAAAGCGGAGAGGGGATATAGGCTATAGGAGGTCGAACCGAGGACCAAGTTGACCAATGCTTATGATTCCCTGGCAGTCGCGATCGTATGAGGACAGTCAAGAGGAGGAGGATTGTAAGATGAGACTGGTGGTGACAGAGATGATAGGTATGCTCATGAAGGAAGTAGAGAAAGAGAGGAAGGAGGAGGAGAAGAAGAAGAAGAAAGGAGGAGGAGGAGGAAGAGGAGAGAACAAGTCGCTACCTGCTCCGAGATCCGATCGCACGACTCGACCAGCAGCTCAGTCATATGCTTACAGCTTCCCAGGACCTGCGCCAACTCTAAACACCCCTCCTTCGTCCTGCTCCTCCCACTCCTGCTTCTGCTGCTGCTGCTGCTGCTGCTACTCCTTCCTCTTCCTTCCTCCTCCTCCTCCTCCTCCTCCTTCTCCTCCTCCTCCTCTTCATCCTCCACTCTCGCTCCACGGTACCGCAAGGATGGAAGCGTCGGTGAGCAGGTGGCAGTAGGAGACATTGAGCTGTTGTAACTCTCCGCATCCCTCAGCTACGCTCTTGATCCCCGCGTCCGTCACCTGCACTTCATCCTCAAACCTCCTCCTTACACTTCCTCCTCGCGTCCCCTCCTCCTCAATTCCCTCCCTTGTACCTCCTCCTCCTCGCTTCTTCTCCTCCTCTTCCTCCCTCCTCCCTCTTGTCTTCATTCTCGTCCTCCCTCTTACTTTGTTGCACCACGTCAAGTCCAGGACCTTCAGCCTCGAGCAGCAGGCGGCGACGTCTTGGATACCAACGTCGGTGACCTACGGCAAGGAGTCAGAAGAGACATCGTGGAGGAGGAAGGAAGAGAAGGAGGGAAGGGAGGAAAGGTGATGTAGAGGTACGAGAGAAGAAACTGAGGGAGGGAGGGAGGGAGGGAGGGAGGGAGGGAGGGAGGGAGGGAGGGAGGGAGGGAGGGAGCCGGAGGGAGGGAGGGAGGGAGGGAGCCGGAGGGAGGGAGGGAGGGAGCCGGAGGAGTCGGAGGGATACTTGAGGTCCGACGTCGATGCGGCGGCCAAGCAGGAGGACCTCGAGCTGGGGACTCTGTTCGGCGATGATGGCGAGCGAGTCGTCTGTGATGCTCTTCACACCAGAGAGGTCGAACTCCTGCTCGATATCAGCTCTCTTCCTCCTCCTTCTCCTCCTCCTCTGGCCCTCCCCCTTTCTTCCTCCTCCTCCCCTCCTGTCTCCCTGCCTCCTCATTCACCTTGACATGTCCGAGGCGTTGAGGACCCATACCGCTGCCTTCCAGTCATCATCCTCCCTCTTCTCTCTCCTCCTCACCTCAGCAGCAGATGCGCGTCCCCGCATCGCTTCCCAGCTAACTTCAAGCTGCTCCACAGCCCCGCAAACCTCTCCCCGTTCACTGACGTCCAGGCCTGCGTGAGTGCCTCGTGTTAGTTCGGCTCCTGCTAGTTGTAAATAACAACTGCTGCTGCTGCTTGCTGCTGCTGCTGCTGCTGCTGCTGCTGCTGCTGCTGCTGCTGCTGCTGCTGCTGCTGCTTGCTGCTGCTGCTGCTGCTGCTGCTGCTGCTGCTGCTGCTGCTGCTGCTGCTGCTGCTGCTGCTGCTGCTGCTGCTGCTGCTGCTGCTGCTGCTGCTGCTGCTGCTGCTTCCTCCTTGTCCATCAACAACCCTCCCCTCTCCCACTTCACATTCGCCACTCCTCTACCTCAGTGCAGTAGACAGCCTCCCGGACGGGCTTGCTCGTCATGGCAAGGAGGAAGAACGAGGGTGCGACCTGCATGACAGATCAGAGAAGCAGACGACAGAGGAAGGGAAGGAAGGAGAAGGAGGAGAAGGAAGGGGGACGAGGGAAGGAAAGGGGAAAGAGGGAAGGAAAGGAAGGAGAAAGGAGAAAGGAGGAAATAGGACGGAGAAAGGAGAAAGGAGGATCGAGGATGGAGAAAGGAGGGGAGGAAGGAAAGAGTGATCGACATTTAGCTTCTCAAGGATCCTGTGTAGAGCTCCGGTAGGAAGAAGAAAATTGCCGAACTCCGTGTAAGGCGCCTGAGAAGAAACCTCGCTCAATGCTTGCCGGGCAAGGAGAGGAAGATAAGAGGAAGGACAAAGGAGGGAGGGAAAAGGAGGAAGAAGGGGAGGGAGGTAGAAATGACAAGAAGGGAGGAGGAGCGCGAGGATGGGAAGGGAAAGCGCTTTGTCGGAGGGGGAGGAGCAGACGGGAGGAGGAGGTACGAGCACAGGCAGAGAGGGAGGAGGAAGACCTGCTTCTTGTAATACTTTTGTGCGATCTCAAGGACCTTGAGCCTCCTCTCCTCCTGCTTGGCCAGGAACCCTTTCCTTCTGGAGGGCACGTTGCGATCTGAAGCACTCTCAGCAGAGAGTGCAAGGGGGGCTGTGGAAAGAAAAGGGAGAGAGGAGGTGGTGGTGGTAATGGTAGGATGAGGAGGATGAGGAGATAGAAGGTAGAAGTAGCAGGCAGGAGGTAGAAGTAGAAGGTAGAGGTAGGAGGTAGGAGGTAGGAGGTAGGAGGTAGGAGGTAGGAGGTAGGAGGTAGGAGGTAGGAGTTTGAGTTACCGAGATCAGGACGCTTCTCTACCCCCAGGACCTCACGAACTTCGTTGACATGCTCGGCCACGTATCCCTCAACAAGGTTCAGCTCCTCGGCCAGCCGCACCTGGAGAGCGCAAGGTCACACCAGAAGGGGAGGAGCAAGGGAGTAGCAAGGGAGGAAGCAGAGGGGGAGAAGGTAGCAGGGGAGGAGCAGGTGGCGTGCAGGGGAGGAGTCCACCTCCTCTTCCAGCTGGTACTCGATCTGGTTGGAGTCCCTCAGGAACCGACGAGCAGTGGAAGAGCTGTATCCCCTTGTGTCCAGCCTCTCGTAGTCAGGGCCGGAGGAGGGCGGGTGAGGAGGAGAGCCGTGCTTCGACTCTCTGTTGGAGGTCCGGAAGGAGACGGCACGAGTCGAGTACAGGTCCTGGTCCCCAGTCTCCAGCTCGTCTCTCCCGGACCTGCCGTCCCAGTCCTCCTCCTCCTCCTCCTCCTCCCCCTCCTCCTCCTCCTCCTCCTCCATGTGCACTCTTCTCCTCTCCGTGTCCCTGGTGGACGAAGGGTTCCATGTTCCACTTTTTTCACTTTCTGCCGGTTTGACCTGCGAGGAGAACAAGGATGACGTCATGGCCACTGAGGATATCTCCTCTCTAATGATCTTCCGGATCTCGCTGTAGTCCACTCCTCCTCCTCCTCCTCCTCCTCCTCCTCCTCCTCCCTTGTGCATCGAGTCCTGCACCGGGATAGCGCTCTCCTGTACATGCGACATAGGGTCGACGTCGAAACTCTGCCGAGCATCGTGCTTTCCTCCGTCATGCTTCCCTGGCCTGCCCCTCTCCTCCTCCTCTGCTCCATGTCCTCCGTGTACTTCGTGCCTAGCAGCAGCTGGAGCGACAGGACCTGCGCGCTCCTGGTGCTCCGGCACCTCCTCGTGCTGCACAGACGCGAACTTGCCATGTAGCTCGTGGACGTCCAGGGAGAGCGAGCTCGCCATGTTCTGCTCCTCTTTTCCATCCGGCACAACCAGCGTACACTCCACGTCCGCAAACATCAGCAGCTGCCCGTCGACAATCTCTACTCCTGCCCCCGGCTCCACCCTCCGGAACGAGGTCCCGGGGAAAGTCCCAACAAACGTCCCGTTGGTGCTTCCGAGGTCCCCGACAAAGAATCGTGCTTCCCTCCTCTCCAAGTACCCGTGCTTCTTTGAGCACGCGCGGGAGTCCAGCACGATGTCCACCTGCTCCCTGGATTTGCCCACCAAGTTCTTTCCTGGGAGCACGTAGTGGAAGAAATTCAGTCCGGTCGCCTGGTCCACCAGGACGATCCGAGCGATCTTCTCCTCCTCCATCGACATCCCCATCGCGCTCTCCATCTCCTGCTTCCTCAGCGTCTCCTGGTACAGATTCTTGCAGATGAGAGTCTGCGGCCTCATCAGGAGCTCAATCTTCAGCTTCGTGTTCCTGTACACCCTCTCTCCTTGTGCTGACGTCACCTCCTCCCACCCCTCGGGGAGGGGCATGTGCAGCGAGGCTTCAGCGATCCACAGAAGGTCTTTGTCGTAGGGCATCGACATACCGATGTCGTTCTTGGCATGGAAGTAGACCTCCTTGCTCATCGACGACGAGGGTTGACCCCCCGGGGCTGCAGGAGCGTTGAGCGAGGTCGAACCCATGTCGAACGATCTTTCTGTGCTCTCCGCAGCGTAGAGATGACTCCTTCCGTCATCCTCCTCCTCCTCCTCCTCCTCCTCCTCCTCCTCCTCCTCCTCCTCCCTCTTCCTCGCATCGTCCTCCGTGTCAAACTCTTCCCTCCTGCTGCTGATGATGCTCGACCCGGGGTCTTGACTATGAGGACGTCAACGTTGCTCTCCATCGTCTGGTTCGCGTCCTCGACCCCACTGATCGTCAGAGTGGCATCCACGTCACCGAACACAAACTCGTTCATCTCGCCAAGTCTGTAGATCCTTCCCGCCTCCAAGCTCACAACAGCGCCATGGTCGTTGGTCATGACGGTCCCGTTGGTGCTACCTAGATCTTCTATGGTGCATTCCTCCATGGTCGATCCGATCGTGACCATGGCATGCCGCCTTGAGAGCGAGGAGGATCGTATCAGCACATCCCCTGGCCCTCCTTCCTTCCCGACTACATTCCTCCCCTGGCGGAGAGCAAAAGACTGTGGTCTCCCGTCGGCAAGTACCACCTCAAGCTTCGCCTCGAGCATCCCCCTTGTCAACACTACACTCCCTTGCTCTCCTCTCCTCCTCTCCTCCTCTCCTCCTCTCCTGAGCTTCTACTCCCTTCAGCTCACTCGGCTGCTATCCTGAAGACTTGCGCTGTCCTTGCCTTGCCCCTATCGCCGCCTCGCTGCTCTCCGCTCAGGCCATGTCCGTTAAAATGATGGCGGGATGGTAATAAACTCAGTGCCGCGGGCCCGGTCCGGGCCCGGTCGGATGGGAGGAGGTCGACCTGAGGCGAGCCCACGGAAGGAGCGGCGCCCTGCAGCCATGCACGAGGCGAGGAAGGCAGAAGAAGAGGGAAGGGGGGGGAAGAGGATGAGGAATGAGATGCGAGAGGGCAGGGAGATAACGAGCAGTACTGGCAGGAGGAGGAAGTTTCAGGTTGCCGTTGTGTCTGCAGATGTGTGCTTTTTGCTTCTATCCGATGAAGGCGTGCAGGTTTGAGGAGGAGGTGTTAACAAAGATCAGGTTTAATGAGCTCGTCCTTCATGCTAGGACGTGACGAAAACGAGTTATAGAGATCCATATCCTTACTCGATATGGTTGGTTACTTCTCACGCATTTCCTTTCCTGTTAATTCCTCTATAATCACATAACACCCATATCTGTTTTCCGTATAGAGCAGTGTTCCCTACGGGATGTGAGAGGATTTGTGTTGTGCTCTCCTGGAAAAGGGAATTTGGTGATTGAGAATAATTCGGTATGCATGTTATATCCTCCATAACGACTTGTGATGAATCAAGCTTTTGATCTTGGTCATCTCTTTCGCTTCACGCCGGGATGTTTGATCTGCATCGTTCGAAGTAATCTTGTAGTCAGAGCCGATTGTAATCATGCCATGATCCCAGGCGTAAAATGTCAGCTAGGGTAGGATTATTTGATGTTGATGCCACGAGTGTGGAATGTGATATCGCTCCATGGTGAAAGGGTAGATGGGGGGAGGGATGCATGACGGTGTTGGAACCAACCAAAAAACGATGACTTCTATTAGACATTGTAACTTGTTTTCATGGTGGTGACGATTTGCTTTCTTCAGCTTCCATCGTCAAAGTCAGTGAACGGGGATGGGAATTCAAAGCTCTGTAGCTCGCTTCCTTGACGGCCCCAATGGTGCAAATAACAAGAAATTGATCAAGAACCTCTTCGTCTTCGGTGTAGCGATCGCTGTGCTCTACAATTGGGAGGTAGTCATCGGAGATCTTGATGAAACGCCAAATGTTCAGTAAGATCATACTATGAAATGATGTAAAGTTGGCATGTTGCCGAACTTAGCAAGTGAAATCAGATTGGTGTGTGGTAGCATCATTGCTCTGTGATTACTCTGTACTGCTTTGGAAAATGTCCCAGTCATGAAAATTACGACAATTTTCCACTGCGGATTCTCACGCATACATTCCTGCAGCATTGCGTCTTTTGCAGATGCCTTTTACAAACAAAACGGGTTTCCGAAAGCTCACGTTTCCACAAGACCGAAATTGAGCCAACTTCAAACGGGATGCAGTGGAAAAATTTGAGCTTACCAAGAAGCAATCAATTCCGATATGGTAGCATTTATTATCAACTAATTTAGAACTTGTCAACAGTGGCCATGTGGGCGATGAGGTCGACCACACGGTTGGAGTATCCCCACTCGTTGTCATACCAGGAAACGAGCTTGACGAAGGTGTCGTTCAAAGCGATACCAGCCTTGGCATCAAAGATGGAGGAGTAGGAGTTTCCGAGGAAGTCCGTGGAAACAACCTCGTCATCAGTGTAGGCGATGACACCGCAGTACTCAGGGTCGGTGGTGGCAGCCTTGATGGCATCGCAGATCTGCTGGTAGGAAGCGGGCTTGGCGAGCTTGACGGTAAGATCGACAACGGAGACATCAGGGGTGGGAACACGGAAGGCCATACCGGTGAGCTTTCCGTTGAGCTCGGGGAGAACCTTGCCAACAGCCTTGGCAGCACCAGTGGCAGAGGGGATGATGTTCTGGGCAGCACCACGTCCTCCACGCCAGTCCTTGCCGGAGGGTCCGTCAACAGTCTTCTGGGTGGCGGTGGTGGCGTGAACGGTGGACATCAAGCCCTCAACAATTCCGAAGTTCCTCTCGACAACCTTGGCAAGGGGGGCGAGGCAGTTGGTGGTGCAAGAGGCGTTGGAAACAATGGTGGGGGTGCCGTCGTAGGCCTTGTTGTTGACGCCCATAACGAACATGGGAGCATCAGCAGAGGGGGCAGAGATGACGACCTTCTTGGCACCGCCGCTCAAGTGAGCCTGAGCCTTGTCGATGGTGGTGAAGACTCCGGTGGACTCAACAACGTAGATGGCGCCAGCGTCAGCCCACTTGATGGCAGTGGGATCACGCTCAGTGAAGCAGGTGATCTCGCATCCATCGATGCAAAGCTTGTCACCCTTCTTCTCAACGCTGCCCTTCCAGATGCCGTGGGTGGAATCGTACTTGAACATGTACACCATGTAGTCCAAATCGATGAAGGGATCGTTGACAGCGACGACCTGGCAGTCAGCCTTCTTGTTGCTAAAGGCAGCACGGGTCACGAGACGTCCGATACGTCCGAATCCGTTGATTCCGATCTTGGTAGGCATCTGATAGATTATATTAGACTTGCTGAGAAAGATCGCAAAGAGACGAATATAATTTTCTCTACACTCGTATCTGACATACCATAAAACATAGGGAAACGTTCTCGCAATGACAAACCACGAAATGTTCTTGAATCTTTCAGCAATTCTAAGAATTGCTCACAGGCTCTATGGACTATTTCAAGATGTATGATGGCAAACCACTGCATGCTTTCTCAACCAAGCTGGCAACTATCTCCTCTACATCGCATCATTCCTTGTTCTTATTCATGTCAGGTCGTACCTGGGTTGTTGGTTTCCTCCTCTGCTGCTTCCTCTCCGTCTTTGTATGCCACGCGTCCTACCCCCACCCCCCTGACCCCCCCCCCTTAGGTGCGAAGCAATACACCCCTACCGTCATCAATTATACCCCCATTCACCACCCCCCTTGTCTCCGAACTTACTGATCCTTGACGAACCACCCACTCTCGAGTTTGATTGAACCCCTCCGATTTTTCCCCTAAACAACTGATGAGATTGTGTTTCAATCCCACATGATTTATCTTTGACTTTTCATATTAATTCATATAATACATTTCACCCTACCTTCTACCTTTGTGCTGAAGAGAGCTCAATTGTTCTAGCTCCATCTCTGAGGACCGGGTATTTCAAACACCCCTACCCTGATATTCCAACAATGTCAGCTGCGGTGACACCACCGGTGTTTACCAAATTTCTCATTGGACCCCTCAAAATGAATGACCCCCACCCCCATTTTCTCCAAAAAAAAATTTCTTGTTCTCGTAAGTTCTTATCGTCCCTACACCCCCTCTCAATGACCCTACCCCAAGGAATTCTACCCCACCAACCCCTACCTTCTTCGTGCACCTGGGCAACAAAGTCTTTTGTTCATCTCTACCCACCCTACCACCCCGTTGGACCCTCCTCTAAGATTTCTCCCACCCCTTCTAGGTTTCAGGTCGTGTGCAAAGTTCAGAAGCACCTCTTAGAACCACCCCGCGCACAACAGGCCTCCACTACCCGTCGTTTCAAACCACCCCTCCATAGGACCAAATAGTGCTATTAAGCAACTATCTCCCCTTGTAATTAGCTACCTTTTTGTTATTTCAAATGGATTTGATGGTTTGACAATTGAATTGGGTATCCACATATTGTTGAATCATTATTTATCAATATATGAAATGTCATACCTATGGGGATTCATGGTCGATTGAGATAGTCCCCTAAGACATAAGATAACTTGGCGGCTTAATTAGCAATCCAGACACGTTTCTCCCGACACCGGTCCTCACTCGATCCAATCCCTGATCCCCACCTTTCACGTACGTACTGAGCACACCCTACCCTTGCCCTCAAATTCAGTACCCCATCTCCTGAGAACCCCCGTGTTTCCAACGGCACTACCAGACGCAAGACCCACACCACCCCCTTTGCGTGGAATTCAAGAGGGTGCTCAAGGACCCCTACCAGGTTTCGATATTCCAAACAAGGGTGGACGGAAACAACCCTTATCTTTCCCTTTATATGGGTGGTAGCTACCCCTGTTCAGACCACACCACTCCACCCCATCTCGTGCAAGGCAGCGAGTACCTGTCCGCATGCCTTTTTGACCCAGGGATATACCCCTTGTTTTCATTATGCGTGCCATATAAATCGAGGGGTGGGTACTATTATTCTCATTTTTGTTGGCGACTTGTTCTCTTAGGGATTTATCGTATCGATAATCTACCCCCCTACCCCCCTGTAGAGCTTTCAGACCCACCATCTCAACGAGTATGGGACAATGCTAAGTATCCCTACCCTCTTGCTGCTCTGCAATTGAATGACCCCTGTACACCGAGAACCACAGCAATGCTCAAAGGAAGAGCAAAGGGAGGCATTGACGTTCTCACATATGACTACAACTATAACTTCTTGTTTGAAGAATGAGTCCCACTAACTCAACTTCTCGACAAGGAGTCAGCAACAGAGTGATCCGCCAACTCATGTCTAAGTTGTTTGGATATGGAATCAAGGGGGTGGGGTCAACATCACAGGGGTAGTAGATGGAGCCGTGTCACATCTGGGGGTAGGGGTAGATGGGGTATGAAACGTGGTAAAGGAGCATCCAGTGCAGGCCACGAGAAGACGTGGGGTCCTGAGACCTAGGTAGGTCATAGAAGGCTTAGGAAATGTAGCACATGGCTATGGCTCTTACAGATAGAATCCAAAAAGAGAGCGCGCCTCAGTCTGCATTTAGGAAAATCGAGAAGGCAGCTTTGAACCCAGCAATTTCAGGGTTGCTGGAGACAAAAAAAGGAGGACCTACGGGGATTCGAACCCCGGTTGCTGGATTCAAAGTCCAGAGTCATAACCACTAGACCATAGGTCCGGTCACGTGCCTGGGGATTTCGGAGGTATATATAGCAGGAATTCATGGTGATCTACGAAAACATGGCTCGTGCCTCATGGTAGAAAATCGGGCAGCTCTATCAGGCGTGGCTCCCTTCGAGGATGGTCGAGGATAGCACGTAGAGCATTTGGTCGAGATAGAAGCAGTTCCCCTGGGTTAACTCGGTTTCCTACCCGGGGGAAGGGTCCTTTGATGCAGTCGAAGAATGGGAGTCGAAGGGAAGATACATGTAGCAACTCTTCGAAGGACAGGACTCTGTTTCACAAAAGCATGCCAACACAGATAAAATGTGCTAGTAGCCCTCCTGAACCGGAATGTTGTAGTAGGAGATGGGTTCTGGTTGAACTTCCTGCACCATTCCATGAAGTCCTGTAACCCGACATGATCAAATTAAAACCTGGCAGCTGTGATCTGAAAGTTAGACTCTGGGATGACGTGGTTCGTGGAAGGCGCTAATAGGTTACTGTGATGGAGCAAGTGTCACTAAATATGTTGTGTGGTTGCATGTACCCTTTACTAATAATCTGTAGAAGGATCATGATTCTTGTTGGTATCCTTCCATTCATGTTGATCAGCAGCATTGCGCACCCTGTAGATTCTACACGGGGTTAACGAGCTTGTGGCTCTAGGATCTCAAGAGATATCTTGCAAGGTACAAGGAAAATAAGCTCAAGAATCCGTTCAAGTTACCTCCGCATCTACATATTGTACTTGCTCCTTCTGTGTTGCTGTCCGTGCATATCTCACGATCTATTGTTCTATGACATCGTACTCTAATACACCCGATTGCAAAAATATTCCATTAGTGTAACCCAGTGTAACCTACATTTTGGCCTCTTGACATGCTTTTCTGTTTTTACTGAATATCTGCTCTCACAACGAAAGCATGATTGTTTAGTTCAAAACCTTGGCGAAGTCCTCATTCCACTCCTTCTCAAACCAGGCAATAGCCTCCTCCTTAGAAATACGCTGGCGTTGTCCAACCCTTCCCTTCCTGAGTTTGCGCTTGGCAACGCGATCTCCGGCCCTCTTCATGATGACGTAGAAGTCCATACCGTAGATACCAGCGTTGGGGTCGTACTTGATACCAAGATCGATGTGCTCGTTAATACCAAATCCCCAGTTTCCGTTCTGGGAGAAGTTTCTGCGACGAAGCTCGAACTCCTTCACTGCAAGACCCTTGGAGATAATATTCTTGGCACTGTCACCACGAACAGTGACGTAGGTGGCGATCTTCTCGTTACGCCTGATACCGAAGGTACGGACGGTGTAACGAGCTGTCAAACACAAGGCGTCAGCCCGCAGTGCAACGGAGAAACCAACAAGATACAGCAGCAATCAAAAATCATATCGCCCAGTTATCACGCCAACAGCTCAGAGTTCACATCTTACCGCGGGAGTAGCAAGGCTCCTGCTCAGTCAACTGCTGGAGAACCTTGCCTGCGCGAGTGACCCTGTCACCGCTCTCACCGACGGAGATGTTCAAGACTAATTTCTCGATTTTGATCTCCCTCATGGGGTTGCTCTCCTTGTCGTTAGTCTCCGCCTGCAGCTTCAGGTCATTCACGAGTCACAGGCGGCGATCCTCTAGGTTTTTAAAGTGAGGGCGCTCCATTTGCATGGTCATCATAGTGACAGACTTAACATCGATTATAATGAGATCCGATGAACACAAGGACAGATTATAACAAGGGCCGACGGGCAAGAACAATAGTCGACTTTGGTCACACAGCAAGCGGCACAATAATCAATTTGAGTTTCTTCATAGACTCGATAACTGCACGGTCTCGCGAAAAACAACAGATGACTAGAAAACGAGCAAACAGTTCAAGAATTTCTTGTACATACACACTCCTCCATGAAATTTCAACAGCCTGCATCCACAACCTCTTGAGCGTTACAAGTAGTTCACGGGGCGAGAAGATTGCATTAACAGACTTTGAACAACAATACAGGCAAAGAGCATCGTTGTCTCTCAAGCTGCATGCCTCAACTGTGTGCTGCCATCCCGTTCCTCCATCACGCGCGCGTACACTCACCATGGTCCCTCGCGTACGGCTTCGCTCGTGCGATTCTTTTTTGAGTTGAGTGAAACTCTTGAGTTCACTTTTGCCCTCATCCCCTCATCGCTCTACAGCCTAAAAAATATGAGTAAAACTTTCAATACCCGGTGGGCCTGGCCGCGGCCCGGCCCGGGCTGAGTGGCGCCCGGCGCAGTCACGGTCGGGTCAGCCCGCGGGGCAATCGGATCCGATGGCCGCGGATGATCCAGGAGTCCCGGAGTCCGATTGCGGCCGCGGCCCGGGCTGGCAACTTGCCCGGCGCACGGTGCGGCGCGGGGCGGGCCGCCGCCGGCGCCCGGAGTCACTCACCGGGCCCCCGGGGGCCGGCGGGGCGCCGGGTACGGTCGCCGCCGGCGGCGCCGGGCACTGCGCGGGACCGTCCGACCGTCCCCTTGCAGTCGGCAGTACCGGGTCGCGAGTGGCAGGACTGAGGACAGCCACGGTGCCGGGCCCAGCGGCCTCCGTGAGTGCGGCGGCCGGGTCACCAAGTTCGGACGCCGGGCGAGCCGCCACACTCGCGAGTCCGACACTCGGGGGCCGCGGCGAGCCTCCCGGAGTCCGGCGTTCGGGGCCCCGGGGGCGCGGCGCCGCCGGCGGGGCTGGCCTCACCGGGCCCGGGGCCCGCCGGGTTGCCACCGCTCGCCGGAACTCCGCCCGGGGCCGGGCCGTTGCTGAGAGGCTAACCGGTGGACACTGATCATCCAGGAGCGCGCGCGGGGGCCGCCCCCGCCCCTTTAGGACCGAGGTTCCAAGCCTGAAGCCGCTGAGGCTCTCCCAGCGGCTGCCGAGCCAGCGGGCACACTGATCGCTCGGATCATCGGATCCAAATCACGAACCCTGCCAGTGAGAATGGTACTCAGGCGGCAGTGACTTGACTGGGCTTGACTGGGGGGTAACTAACATATAAAAAATCGCGGCGCTTCAAGGCTCGCCGGCCCCCGGCCCTCAACGCCTGGCCGGGCGGCGCTGGGCGGCCGCGGCGTTCAACGGCAAGTTGCCGGGCCCAAGTTTTACGTTTCATTTCTAACCGAGGCCGAACTTCGGAAACTTTCAAGTTTCAGCCGATGATCCTATGACACTGTCGCACCATCACCGTCACGAGTCACCGGCTGCCAGGGTTGCTCAACCGCCGACTCGTTCTCGCGGCCGCTAGTCCTGCTCCTCCAGATCCATCCCATCATCCATCGGCGCAGGTTCATTCTGCTTCAACAGCTCCTAACGAACAGAGGTCACACTGACAGGAGGAGCAGCCATGACTCCGGCTGAGGGTCATGGCGACTGAAACTTCTTACCTTGGATCGCTCGATTTCTTCAGGCGTCGCAAGGCGAACCGACTGCAGGCAGAGGTCAGCGAGCCTGCCTCAAAACTGCTCACAACAAGACCTCTGCAGTGTACCACCACTTGATCTCGTTGGTGGACCCTTCAGCGTACTCTTGATCCACGGGCAGGCCGTCCTCGTCCTGCTTATCTACCTTCACCTGCCACCGGGCATCCCTTCAGACGACGGCAGACTGCAAGAGAGAGGGAGCGCGTCTCTTACCCCCCATCGCTCGAGCGCCTCCGGGTCATTGCCGAAGGAGACTTCAACCTCGTAGGGCATTAAGGAGTAGCCTTTGCCGTTCTGCCGCCACTCGTGGTCGCACTGCCATCCCCCGCGTCAGGCCCAGCAGGTCGAGGAGGACCCAGTCACCTTCACGACAGTCCCAACGATCCCTGGGTAGAGAGGCCCGTCATGGGCATCGGCGAACTTCTCCTGAAGGCGCTTGTACTGCAAGTCAGAGATGTTGAGGGCGTCCAAGTATGTCCCGTAGTCCTCGTCTCGTTCGAAGATGGGACCAAACCCCCACTTCCCCAACATCTTCTGCTCGATCACCTGCGGCGAGGTAAGGAGCAGGTGGAGGGAGGAGGGGGAAGCCGTTCACTGACCTCTTTCCTCTTGGGGAGGTTCAAGACATCGCGCGCTGCCTCGGAAAGAACCACCTTAGCTCCTTCCCATATGCAGCCTTGTAGTTCTGCGGCGGACCCGCAATACGTCCCAGGGACCTTCACAGTGCAAGTTTGACAAGACGCGAGGGACAGAAGACCAAAACTTACGTGGGCAGGCTTCGCACCCAGGGAGAGGAGGAGCTCCATCTGCACGATTTACAGGATCAGACTGATGAAGGTGAGATACAGGCACAAGGTCTTTCCCAACCGTCTCAGTTCGATTCCACTTGTTCGCCACGTCAATCGGTGCCCGACCCAGGTCGTCAAGCCTGGAATAGCACAGTGAGTCATCAACGTCGTGGTCGGGTCATGATCTGCACATGTCGAGGTCTGCTCCAGCCTTTACGAGTGTGATGATGAGCTCGTCCGTTGCCTTCCACAGCACGGCCTTGAAGAGCGGTGTCCAACCGTTGGCATCCACCTGCCCAACATCATGCCAGGAAGCCAAGGATGCAAGCTTGTCTCACCGCATTCACAGAACAGCCCATGTTGAGAAGAGCCTTCACACAGTCCAGGTGGTCTCCGGTCGCCGCTAGGTGCAGCGGAGTCTCTTGTATGTAGTTTCGTGCATTCATGTCTGCGCCGTAAGCATGCAGCCACTCGATAGTCCTCCTGTGTCCGAACATCGTGGCGTAGTGGACTGCTCTGAAGCTACCATGAGCTTCTCCATTCTCGGGGTACTCAACTCGCGTATCAATGGCGTCAGGATCAGCTCCCTTAGCTACCCACTCCCTCAATCTGATGTTATCTCCTTGCACTGCACAGTCCAGCATCTCGAAATTGAAATTATCTATCGTCTCTCCCTGCTCTATCTTCTTCTCATCTTCATACTCCTCGAATTCTTCGGGCAGGAACCGATACCAATCGTCCCCGAAGGCCTTTCGTTCCTCTTTGATCCTCCTGAGGAACTCCTCGTCGTCCTTCCTCCATTGCGCATCTGGTTCGTATGATTCATTCGTGTACAGCAGACCTTGGGCTATTTCGTCCACCCCAACTGATCTGGTCCCAAAGCCCATCTGTCCCGGCGCATTGCCGTATTGCGGAGCGATACTTCCGTCAGGCAGGTACCAACTCAACTCGCCAGGAGGAAGCAGTCTTGTCTTGGAACTGTTGTCGTAGTCCTCCTGCAGTGAGTTGATCAAGACGGGTCTGTTCTCATAGAACGCCAGACTGGACTGGTAGGGATCATGGCGCCAAGGATCGTAGACCGTCAAGTTTTCCAGCATCGGGTCTGCCTGCTCCGCTGGCGGGTCGCCATACATGGTATACCCACCCGTGATGTTCTCTATGACATCCTGAGCATGCTTGACTGCCATGTCGATCCTTCGCTTCCGCTCCTCCGCAGCCTTCTGGTCGAAATCCTTCATCTCGCTGAGTTTTGCCTGGACCTGCTTCTCCCTGTCCGCTGAGATTTTGAAGTAGTCAGTGGCTTGCTGTGTATCTTCCTTCTTCAGTACGGTGAAGTCCTCGCTGCTAGTAGTTTCTTCTGTTCGTTCCTGGGATGAGGAACTTCCACCACCCCTGAGGATAAGGGAGGGAAGGAGAGGAACCCTTCTTGTCCGCGAGGTGTCCGAGTCTGCCTTCCATAGACGGCCAAGCACGAAATTTCTTCGCTCTATTTCATGGAGGCCACAAAAGCCCATGATCGCACTGATCGTAAGGTCCAGGAGGAGGAAGCACAATAAAACACTGCTACGCATGATAGCTGACTTATTAGAACAGCCGAACAGAACGTCGATCAGATTCCTGATCCTCGCCAGAACGAGGCAAGAAGGGAGGGGGAGGAGCAAGAGAAGGGGGGAAAGCGAAGGTGGGGAACCGAAGGGGGATTGACGAGGAGGGGGAGAGATAGTCAGTCAGGGAGCTTCAACAGAGAGGCCGAGTGCAGGTTTGCTCCGGAAAGCGGGTTGAAGCTGACTTCAAAGGATCCTCCTCTTCAGGAAAGCATCTGGTACTTGGCAATCAGGTCCAGCACTACAGATATGCTTCAAGGTTCTTCAAGGCAGGGCCTTGACAGCCTGGCATTTTCAGCTCCAAACTACAAAGAAAGAAGCATGGTCAGAGTGAGAGTTTTGAAACGACCGACAAGTCGCTCATGGTAAGTTCTGATCTCATCGACAAGGCAGGTCGTGATACCTAAAGCATGATAGCGATTCTAAGTGCACTGTCTTCCTCTCACCTTGTCATTGCTCATCACATCTGCCTCCTTCAACCATCCATCTACCAGCTGGTTCCTCTCTCCAAGCTCGCCCTCCTTCACTCCTCCCACGACCGATCCCTCTTCGCCCTCCTTCCCCCCTTCTCTCGCCCTACCCGCATGGCCGTATCGCATGGACTACCCTCATCCCCGCTCTTTTCCCTGCTATCCCGGCACAGCCCTGGGCCGCGCACCGTGGCACAGCCTCGGATCAGGCTGGGCACTCAGTGCACAGATGTGACAGATCCCGGCGGCAGACCGCGGCCGGTCCGACTCTCACGGTGCCCGGCCCGGCCGGGCCAGGCGGCCGCCCGGCGGCCGCAGCCAGCTCAGTGCGGCACGCCAGGCTTTAGGGTCCCGATCCGATCATCACTGATGCCATGATAGGATCCGATGATCGCCGCCGATGATTGCCCGTGTACCCCGGACGATGATCATCGGATCCGGGCCGACTCTGCGGCCCCCCCCGCGTCCCGGCGATGGTCTGGCACTCAGCCGAGGCCGCTCCCGCCGTAGGCTCGGGGGCCGGACCGTCCGGGACCGGGAGGGGCTGACGGTACCGTACGGTGCCAGCGGCCGCTGGCAGCCGGGCGGCTCCGAGGCGGCGGCGGGCCGCGCCCGGCGGGCGGCCCCGGAGTGGCGGCTGAGCAAGAGTCACTTGTCACTGAGTCACAGCCGCTCTGCCAGAAGAGCTGGACGGTGACCCGGGGCCTGGCCTGGCCTCAAAATGTTTTTTTAATGCTTTAGACTATCATTCTGCGTCAATTCTACTTTTGGGCCGGATGGGCCCGGCCCGCCGACTCAGGGCTGCCCGGGCACGGAGTGTGGGCCCGCCGCCCGGCCGGCCCGGGCCGCGCGCGGGCGCATCCCGCATGCCGGCGCGGGGGAATTGTCCTGCGCGCAGTTAAGTGCGTCTCCCGGCGCCCGGCGGACTGAGGCTGCCGACCGGACGGTCACGGCGGCTCGGATCGGACCGGCCGCACTGGCGGCGAGAGGCCCTCACCGTGCCACTGCTTGCACCCGGTGACCGCCAGGCCGCTGACTCAGCCACGATGAGTTCAGTAAGTTGAGGGCCACGGTGAGGCGGCTGGCAGCGAATCGGAGCCTGTTCGAAGTTCAGCAGGACCGCGTGACTCCGGAGTGACAGTGACTGTAGGAACTCTGTGATACTACTTATGATATGACAAGTGTTTCTCTGTGATCGGACTCCGTACGGTGCGGCATCAAGAGCTCGTCGGACAAGATCATCGGATGTCGAAGCCTGAGGACGTGGAGGACGTGGAGGGCGCAAGCAAGAAGCACAGAAGTCGGGATCAAACTCAGCCAGCATGCGATCCCTCACGCGACAGTTGTTAGACATACTTGGAGGTCTCCTCTTCCTGTTCTGTTTCCATCACTCGTCAGGGGCCTCTTGAAACTCCAGGGCGAGCTCAACGAAGGACTCGTACTGCATCCCAGCATGCAGGCTACTGAGAAACCTTCTAGTCTAGGATGCAGCCGTCAGCAGGGCCAGGCGGGATACCTTGCTTACCCTCGGTTTGTTGGAGTTTTCTTCCTCCAGCTTCCTGTAGACAGCTTCTAACGAAGAGTAGCCGTTTTGCGACATGAAGCGACGGAACCGTTCGTCGAACATCTGCCAACATGGAGGTTTAGAGAGGTGCCACGGTGCAAGGATCGGCTACATCTGTGAACGCCTGATAGAGGGAGAACAGCTGCAGCGGCTGCGGGGAGGATCGTCAGCGCTTGCAGGGACGCTGCGGAGGTAGAGCACCGTACCTGCTCTTCGCCTATGGGGGCGACGGTAATATCTGAGAGCCCATGGTAGAGAAACTCGTAGAGTTCCTCGTCAAACTCAGAGCGTTGCAAGAATCGCATCAGCTTGAGGGAGAGCCCATTGCCATCGGAAGGCCGCACGTTGCGCCGCCTCCCCCCTCCGCCCTCCTCATCGTCATCGTCGTCCTCATCATCCTCATCGTCCTCATCGTCCTCATCGTCGTCGTCGTCTTCCTCCTCCTCGTCATGGTCGTCGTCATGGCTCTCCTCGTCCTCGTCCTCGTCCTCGTCCTCGTCCTCGCGCTCCCCTCCCTCCAACCTCTGCCGCTCCTGGGCCTGCTCTGCGCCTTCAGCCATTCTGCTGGTTATACCAGACTACCCCCCTTTCCCTGGCTAAAATACACCCACCCTTCTTCTGCATCGGAATTTTCCTGGCAGGGCAAAATGCGGATCTTACGGGGAGGGGCAGAGGATCGTGACCGCCCGCATGCCCCAACGTCGCCGTCTCCTCCTCCTCCTCCTCCCTCTCTATCCAGACACTCTCCGCCCACTGCTCTCCACAGCCTTTCCTCCCTCGGATGGTCGTCTCCTCAGTCAGCAGGATATGGCAAGGCCTCCACAAACTCTCCTCCCTTCACTTTCCCTCGGCCGGACGGTTCGCCCTCCTTGCAGCCTCCAGCCATGCGATCGTCCCGTCGCAGTCTCGGAGAGGATACTGACCTTGCCCATTCTCACAGAGCATCGTCATCGCACGCTGCTCCGACCTCTTCCGTCTACCACGGTACCACCCCCCCACGGCGGCAAGCAGCGAACTCCCAGGAGCCTCATCACGCAAGACTCTCTGACACCTCCCAAGGACTGACAGGGTCAAGTCCCTTGAGGGTCCAAACGCCGAGGAGGAGGAATCTTTTCTCGTCCTCACCAGGCTCAGCTGAGAACGAGGAGTCGTTCAGTAGTTCCTCGATTTTCCTCGACGAGAAGAGAGGGACAGGACAGGCCTCGCACTCTGTACATCTCATGAAAGATCTCAAGTCTGATTCGGTCAGCCCGAGTGTTTTCGCTCCGAGCAGGTACCTCCCTGAGCAAGAGCAAGTCAGGCAGAACTTGGATCAGTCCATGCAGACCCCTTGGCTGAACAGCAGGATGGAAGGGAGTTCACATCGTCCCCACCCTCGTTCACGGAGCCCTGCCAGAGCCACGATGGGCTCCTCGGATGGGATGAAACACCTCAGCCAGCTGCTCCTGATGAAGCAGGATAACAAGGATCCCCAGCAGGGGGAGGCGGCCCGCATTTCACCCATGTACATGTACATGTCCAGGGATGTGTACCCGCCCATGGAGGAGCCGAGCGCACGTTGGTGTGGTGTGGGCATCCAGACATGCAAGTCACACGATGGCAGGGTGATCGTAGTGCATGTGCATGAAGGGAGCCCGGCTGAGGTGGAGGGAGTGAGAGAAGGAGACGAGATTTTGTACATCGAGAACAAGGGCGCGCAAGGGATGACGCAGAAGCAGGTGGTCGAGGCCTTGTCGGGCCCCCCGGGCACGAGCGTGTTTGTGGCGATCAGGCAGAACCAGGTGAAACTGTTCCGCACCCTGGAGCGAAGGGACTCGATCTGGTCGTCGGAGGCGGCGCTGAATGACATAGTCTCGGCGATCGAGAGGTTCAAAGAGCTGGATGCTCAGGAGCAGCGGCGGATCGAAGTTCAGAGGCACTTGCATGACTTGAACACGTCCCTTCCCTCCTATGTCAAGATAGTTGAGAGACCAACATGGGCGCATGAAGCTTCGATGTACTTGGGACCCAGTCAAGGCAAGTCTCAGCCTCCTCGTGTTGACTTGGCAGTCGGTCCAGCCCCCAGTGCAACAAACACGGCAGGCGAGGCAGTGCTGGAGAAGCAGGGCCCCGAACTTTGCGGTGTTGGGCTGCAGCTGAAGAAGTGGAAAGACGGGAAGATAGTTGTAGAGCAAGTAAGGGAGAGCGGACCTGCTGAGAGAGTTGGGATTCGTCCTGGGGATTTCTTGGTGAGCGTGGATGACTTCAATGTCCATGGTATGGATGGCCATGCGATCGCCCAAAAAATCTGCGGTCCGGTAGGATCAAGAGTGTCCCTCGGTGATACCATTCCTGCTGTTTTCTTCTTCGTCGATGTGATGAGAATACGATCGCAGGGCTGGTCAGAGAAGGTGAGGAGATTCAATTCCTGGTCGAACGGCAGCAGGCTGTCTCTACAAGGGACAAAGATTCCCTGGTGCGTGTCTGACATTCATGCATGTGCCTGCGTCTTGTGTTGACTCTCCTCCAGGGATTTCTTGGGAGTGCTGAACCCGCCACCTGGGATAGTCCGATTGATGCCGCAAGTACTCATAACGAGTTGAAACCTGACCGGTCGTCGAAGATCCCCTTGCAACAGCATGCCAAGTCCAATGACGAAGGAAGGCACAGTCAAAACCCAGCTCATGTGTCTGTCCTCCCCAGCAGCCCTCGCGTCCTCCGCGATGAGACTCGGGTGGTAGAGGTCGTCAGCAACCATCATGAAGGAAGCAACCCCCCTTCCCACGTGCCTGCACAATCTGCTGCTGCATCTAGCCCCCAAGAGCTCGACGCGAGGAGGGGCCAGCGCCATCGAGACCCGCTAGAGTGGAAGGAGGAAGGAGAAGTTGGGATCCAACTGCAACAGAGGCATGATGGAGCCTTGCTAGTGTCCAGGTAGGCGCACTTGTGCAAACTGCCGACCTTGTTGACCTCCTCTTGTCTAGCACGGCAGCAGGCAGCCCGGGTGAGCGTGCCGGAGTCCATCCAGGCGACTTTCTCCTCGCGGTCGATGGCATCTCCATGGCCAACGTTGACGCGCGGGGCGCTCTGGACTTCATCAAGGGGCCGGTAGGATCGACGATCAACGTTGACATCATGAGAGGGGGCAAGAGAGTTTCCTTTGACCTTCAGCGGGTTCCAGCCTCTCACTTCCTCAAGTCCAGCAGCAAGGTGAGGGACAGGCTGTCGAGCAGCAGCCAGGAGGCGTTGAGGGAGGTGGATGCTATCATATCCCGGAGTCAGCACTGGCGGCAGCTGAACGACTCAAGGTAGTCAGATGCCCGTGCGGGGGACAGGGAGGGAAAAGAAGGCGTGCTGCTGTGGTAGGAAGGGAGGGGGAAGGGGGGGGGAGTTGAGGAAAGGAGGAATGGACCTAGTGGGCGAGCTAGGGCGTGTAAAGTATTCTCAAAAATGAATAATCGAGACAACAAAAACAAGGCCGGGGCGGGCGGACGTCTCGGTGCCTCCATCACCTGCCGACGATGCCGCGGAGGAGGAGGAAGCCGATGGTGGAGACCTCGAGCTGCAAGGAGAGACGTCAGGTCTCATGGCACAGACGAGGCTGGACGGACCTGAGCGACGAGGGTCACCAGCCCTCCGGTGATGACGTAATCCTGCACCTCCAGCACAGAGCCATTGCCTGCTACACGAGAGTGAGAGAGGAGCCTGTGAGAATAAGGAGGGGGGCATGGTGGTGGTGGTGATGATGATGATGATGCTGAGGAGGAGGAGGAACGGGGATCACGAGAATAAGTCGATCCTACCAGACTTGTTGCTGCCATCCTTGGAGTTCTCGTCCTCGCCGTCCTCGATCGTCGGAACTGGTCCTCTCCGGAGGACAGCGAACGAGTTAGTGTTGGGGAAGGAAGAGACGGGCAGCGCCATCGCTGCGGAATCCATGAAGACGGAGGCGATGATCATGACGTTGGCCTGCCCGATCGACTTGCCCACGTTGGCAACGACGGGCAGGATGATGATGGCGGCGACCGTCGACGAAACGAAGTTGGCGATGATGGCCATGAACGAGGAGAAGGCCGTTGTGAACGTCCAGAGGTTCGCTCCGCTGAGGGACTCCTGGATGGTCGACGACATGATGTGGAGGAGGTAGGAGCGTTCCATCACGTGCCCAAGGGCCAACCCTCCGCCGATGAGCACAAGGACAGACCAGTTGAGGCCGTTGTGGAAGTCGTTCCTGTCAAGAAGCCCCGAGCTGAAGAAGATGGCGATCGGAATAATCCCCAGCAAGCCCATGGAGCCGAAGATCGGCTCGAGATCGAGAGGCTTCCAAAATGCCCACGCCACGACAGTGCAGGTGGTGACGCCCAAGGCCAGGACCTGTGACGGGTTCATCCTCGGCTGCTCTCGTGTCAGCTCTGAGATCTGTAGGGTCCTCAGCTGGGGAGGATACCGGAAGCGGATGATGTACCATGCAGCCAGCAAGAGGATACCACAGTAAGGGATGGTGAGGCACAACCAGCCCATGAAGGAGACAGGGTTTCCTGTCACGCTGCACCAGTTGAACGCGATGACGTTCTGAGGAGAAGCGATGGGCGTTGTCATTCCCCCGATGTTGTTGCTGATTGCAATACCGATCAGCAGCGCCTTGGCGTAAGGGTCCCTGTTGGGCAGCTGATGTATGATAGGTTGAGCCAGACTGACACAGAGGACTGACGAGGGAACGTTGCTGATCCACATGGAGAGGAACGTGCCGAGAGACATGATGCCCAGCAGGACATTCTCAGGTTTGTTTCCAAAAGGGCGGAGAAGGATGCTGGCGATCATGTTAGAGAGCCGCTGCTTCTCCATCACTGCCCCGATCGAGAATCCAGCCATGAACAAGAGAACTGTAGGATCGAAGAACTGCCCACAAATCTCCCTCGCAGCTGCACTGGGGCTCAGAGGGCTGTACTGAGCAGCGATACATTCTGGACAAACACGAGTCATGGCAAACAGCGATCATCGCACTTGCGCACACCTGTATCGCCCTGCTTGCACTTGCCCGCAAGAGGCAGCAGGGCACCGCTACCAACCGTCAAGACGGGGATCAGCAAGGACGTCACGTAGAGGGGGATTGCTTCTGTAGCCCACAGGGTGGAGACGGACACCAGGATAGCAAGGCAACCTGGAGCTGGACTCAGACCCTTCCGACCGGAGGCAGCCAGCCCGCAGACTTACGTTTGGCAGCTGGGATCGGCTTCCCCTCAAACTGCATCTCGCCTGCAGCACCCGTCAGCCCCGCGCGCAGCCGCGAGCGAGAGGAGCCTGACCCGGCCAGTTCATGATGACGAGGAAGAAGAAGGCGGCGGTCATGAAGGGGGTCCATTTCACGTTGCTCACATGGGGTTTCGAGGGGTTCGCGATCGGATTTGGATGGGTGGAGTCCATTTCAACCATTTCTGCCCCAAGGCGTCAGCCGCCAGCCTCAGGCTCCGACGAGGGGCTCAGCTTACCGCTCGTTAGTGGTTCCCTTTCGGCCTCACTTTTTGTCATTCCCCGAAATTCACATGAAGCAGTGACCTGTCCGATGCGCAAGTCAACTCGAGTTCTTCCTCATGTCAACTCAAGTTCTTCCTCGGAGTCGCGCGGCTCCCAACTCTGCGAGGACAACATGGCACAGCATCTATGCTTGTAGGTATGCAACAACGAACCCGAATGCTGCCCATCAGCTCAAATCTCACCTATCACTGTGCTACTCTTCATCGATTCAACTCACAATCGCTTCTCTCCAAAGTGAAACATGGCGAGTCATTGCAACTCTCGCTAGACATCGTAACGAGAACCAAAAGGTGCCCGCCCCCCCTCTGCTCTCTGCACTCTCATTCTCCGACATCTGCTCCTATTGCTTGCATGTCATCCCTCACCACGTCCTTTCCTTCTCCCCTGACCTCAAGTCCACCTGAAAATCATCCTCTTCTCCCTCTGCGCTCTTCATTTTCCCCACTTTACTTTCCCCTCCCCTCCCTACACCGTCCAAATCTCTTTCCTCCTGCCATCACAACTGCTTTTCCCTTCCTAAACTCTCCTCGGCACCCCCCCTCCTCCTTCCCATCATTCCTCTTCCTCCCTCCTCCCCCTCCTCCCCACCTTCCTTCTCTTCTCTCTCCCTTCCTCTCCCTCCCTCCTCTGCTCATGCCCACCATCTCCACGTGGTCCCGCCAGTATCTTCAACTCCACACCCCCACCCTGCCGCATCTCAAATTATGTTACCCCTACCCACCACTTTCTGTTAATATGTCCACCACACCCCCCGAGGTGCATCTCTACCCCTACTTTGACCAATATAAGTAGGGTGATATACCTCTCATCGTGCTAAAAACACCGGTACTGAAATCTGAGGATGTAACTAATGACCACCCCTACCCCATATGCAGCTCAGCTACCTGCTCTTATCCTTCCTGCAAGAGTAACGTTCCTTAACCGATTTTTGCATCAGAACGTTACAGAAGATCTACTATACGTAACGGTGATGTCAACTGACGGATCATCATGGCAGCTGATCATGGCGGGGCAGCCCCGTCCATGCGGCGTGTCGATGGCAGCGGGGGGAGATGAAGGAGATGGTGGCAATATGATGTCATTGTATTACAGTGGTACGTCCCAGAAGATGGGTTCGTACGGACTGAGACTCGAAGGGACTGAGGGAGGAAGGGTCTGATAGAGTTGCCAAACTTGACTCTACAGGAACCGTACTGAACTTGAAGGTAGCAAGGGAGCCTGACGTGGAGGCAGACTGGCTCGGAACCTCAGGAGCAGGCTGAGAAGGCGCGGCAGGGGAGAGTCTCGGGGTGACGCATTGTAGATGGAATATCGGAGAGTAGAACAACGATACGATTGTCTCCCTTGACAAGATGCCTAAATCGAATCTGACGTGCGTTTTGTTGTTTCCAGGCAAGCAATCGCTGTAACGGCGGGGCCCAAGAAGCTGCATGTCTCTCTGAACAACTGCCAGTGCGACATCGCACAATGCACCTCAAGCCTCTCTCGATCCTCGTCTTGGCAGTCCTATGGAGCGACTGCACTGCTCAGTCATGCTCGCCTGCCGTTAACATCGACTTCAAGGCGAGCCTGGGCATCAAGGGGGATGTGACCGACCCGACTCGCTCCGTCAACAACATGCCGGTCTATGGGCCCAGGAGCATACCCGCGGAGAACATGCTCATGATACCGGACTCGCAGCTCCAAATGAACGTGACGGTCTGGTGGAACTCCGATCAGCAGCTCTCAGCGTTCGCGAGCGAGGACCCAGGGCTGCCCAACGGAGCATCGTTCATGCCCAGCTCGTGCTATGGCGAAGTTCGAGTCTCGACCCTGACCGACCCTTACTCGAGCGTCTGCAAGAGCTTCTTGTGGACGCCCAACAGAGAGCAGGTCGGGACCAACTACTCAGTCTGTGTGGTCGCGATGCCAACCAACATGATCAGCTGTTCCGTCAAGAAGTGCTTCTACGTATCCGTGCTGGCCCCTAAGATCGTCTTCGACTCCCTTTCTCCGCTAGATGGCCAGGTCTTCCACAGTCCAGTTGGGTGTGACCTGGAAGTTTGTGTGCAAGCGCAGGATCAGTACAACCGAACACATACGGACATCTTCTTGACTGGAGTCGACCAAGCGTACGCAGCGGCCTTCGACTCGACCTGTCAGCCCAGCTCCTACCCTTCAACTCTCAACCCGCTGTTCCCTGTCAGCAGCGCTGAGCCTCCTTCTTATGCCCCGGGGCCTTGCAAGAAATGCCTGCGCTGGAAAGCATCGCCAGGTCATGAGAACAAGAACTTCACCGCTTGCTTCGTAGCTTCAGACGCAGACGTCAATTCTATCCTCGCCATCCAGAGGTGCATTATAGTCCTCGTCCCCAAGTGCAAGTACTGTATCCAGGCTGGGGACTCTCTGCACTCCATCAACAGGAGGTTCGACTTCAGCTCCAACTGGCTGCAGCTGTGGAACACCAATGGCATGTCTGAGCTCCATCCTGATCCTCTCTCGCCCACCACGGCCTTCGGAGATCCGGACGAGATCACTGCAACTAACGCCATCATTCACCTCGGGCCCTTGTACGCCATCAAAGTTGGCGAAGACCTCGAGCATGTAGCCAGCCGTTTCAGGACGACGGTGAAGAAGATTCTTCAGATCAACCCTGACATCTCCGACCCCTCTGCGATCTCGCCTGGTCAAGTCTTGTGCCTCATTCCCTGCTCCATGGATTGAAACCAACTACTGACGTGCATGGATTCGATGCAACAAGACTTGCTTGTCGTGATCCAATATACCAACGATTTACTGCAAAGCTACTGCAAAGCTAGGATTAAAATGTTCGTTACTTTCAACAGATCTAATAAGATTTGTACAAGAATGTTGTACAGCATCTGGAGATTTGACTTGCTTTTGTAAACAACTTCGTTTCGACCTCAAGAAGCTGATCACACATCTGACATGTAGAAGAGTCCATTCCCCATCCAAAGAAATTTGCATGCCCCATCCCTCAATTTCGCCCTTCTCCTGTGTTCTGATCGATCCTAACGCCTTTCTGAAGAGGAAGCAGCACCACTTGACTGACCCTGGTAATGGGGAGGAATGAGCTTTCTCATCAGTTCCCCTCCCGCGCGAACTTCTTCGGGGGTGAAATCAAACAGAGGCGGCAGTTTCATGTTAGGGAGGTGGAGATTCGGATCACGCAGCTCGTCGAAATACGCATGAGCGCAGGACTGCATCGGGGTTACCCTCTTTTCGGGGATGTACTGCAAAAGCTTCGAAATCAGGTCGATCGCATCGGGGTGTGCCTTTGCTCTGAAAACCTGAGAACAGGGTCAGACTGCAGATGTTGCAGAAGTTGCATCTTGCCTTTGCCCATGGGTGAGCCTTGATCTGAGGAAACCTGAATTCTGTGTAGTTCGGATTCATGCATTGAATTTCTTCCCTTGTTGGAGTTCCCACAACCTTGATGATCTCAACCAACTGCAAACAAGTTCACAAAACAGCATCGAGATCACTGAAACTGTACCTGATCCACATTGCTCTCACCAGGAAACAAGGGCTGTCCGAGCATTAGCTCCGCAAAAACGCATCCGTAAGACCAAGTGTCGATTGCCGTTGTGTAATCAGTCGCTCCAAAAATAAGTTCCGGTGCTCTGTAATAACGAGAACAGATGTATGCAATGTTCGCCTCTCCTTTGACGAGCATCTTTGCGCTTCCAAAGTCACATAATTTGACAGCATGAGTTTGCGGATCTAGAAGAAGATTCTGTGGCTTAATATCTCGATGGCATATTCCAAGCTGGTGAATGTATGCAAGTGCTCTGGCAACCTGATACATGTAAAGCTGAAACACATCTCAGTTTGCACTAATAAGTGAAGAAAGGGATGATATCACCTTAATAAAAACACCTGGAACAACGCGCTTCGTTCTGCTATAGTGTTTTACAATTCTATATATTGTTTCCGGCACGAATTCCAGGACTAAATTCAGATAAACTTCATCTGGCTGTAAAACATGATCGATTAAATCATCAAACAAGAACTAGTGGAAAATCAATCTAACCTTGTCCCCTTTGGAATAGAAGCAGCTTTTCAGCTCAACAACGTTAGTATGTTTCAGCTGCTTCATGATTTGGAGTTCGCGATTCTGTTTTCGCCATTGCATGAGCCAAGATACAAGAATCAAAGCACAGACATCTACCTTAAATCGCTTATCCTGTAACACTTTCTTCACCGCTACAATTTCGCCTGTCTCCACAAGTTTCGCTTGAAACACAACTCCAAATGAGCCATTCCCAATCACTTTCTCATCGGTCAACAGTGGCTTCTTGTCTCCGTCTTGATCAGCCATGTTCCCACTATCTCTTGTTCTCTAAACTCCTTTGCACCCGCAAATTTTGTTACTTGAAATCTTGAGTAGCCCTAACTTCTTTCAAAGATATCTGTAAATGCAGGAGAAATCAGATACACGATGAGTGGCAAAAAAATTGTGACATTACAAAATCAATATGCAATTCGCTTGCAGAGCGAATGAAGGATCAGTCACCCGACATCACAACTGCAACAAGGAAAATGCATCCAGCATAAGAACGTCGTAGAAACAGGCAATAGAAAAACAGATCAAGCTCTTCAAGCTTTGCGAGGTGAAAAATTAAAAGAGCGAGAGTGCTTGTGTACAACAACTGTTTGAAGAACTGGGATATAAAGAAGTATCACCTATCAAGAGAAATATGCATATCACCACATGCCCATGCAATCATTACGCGAACCTCCTAACAATTTAGTACAAAAAAACGACACACGAGAGATGACGTCTGCATTCTAGGCCATCGGCTCAAGATCGCACGTAGGCTGCACAAGACAAAACACAGAAACTACCAGATCGATAAGAACATGCATTATGAATGCAAAAACAGCTCCTTGTTCATGGCCAGAACACGTTTGTTACCCACCTAAGCTACTCATCCACTGCCGCGCCGCCGCAACCGACCTGCCTCTTCTTCAGCCAGAAACTACCCTACGATTCATATTTTTCAACCACATACCCTGTATACCCCTGACATTTTGTACCTGTAGTTTAGCTCAAGTAATATTTTAGTACCATTCAAATTATTTGTTGGGGGTGTGGGGCTACATCGGAAGGTAGTGCCGCCCCCAACAGGGGCCGAGGATTTGTGGATGATATAGTAGAGGTATATGAATTTTACCTATACGTATATTTATAAATTTTAGGATCTTGTATACCCAGGGAAAAAGACCTTGCAAGCGTCCGAACGCGTGATCAGTCCATGAGGTAGCTTTCCCAAGAGGCTGGATCCTGACCTTCCTTGGCTACCACAACGAAGATAACTAAACCTTAAATACATTTTCCGGATCCTCATATGACCCCTTTCGGTATTTCTTTACCGCCGGCCATTCGAAAAGAGGAGGACAAAATTGACTAAAGTTTTGTTCGGCTGCCTCCACCCCCACCCCCTAATCACCATCAAGTACCCACTGTTTCTCTGAAGCTGACCCCTCTAAAACCTTATTGACCCCACCCTACGTCACCCCCTTTCCTTTGTATATGTGTACCCTACCCCGTATCCCGATATGCTTTCTCTCAGCAATTGTTCACGTGTGCTGGGATGCTGTCACAAGTCAACAAAAATTGTAAGTGAATCACTAATGTTTCAGCCGTATCCTCCGAGGTCTGCCTTCGTAAGTTTCGATGACCAGCCATGACATCTATGGAGGGACTACCCGGTATTTCCATTACCCACCCCTGGTGGTCTAATTGCCCGGAGCCCGAGGGCGTGGTGGCTACACCCCTCCCATCAATCTTTTAGCCATGTAGTACCCCCACCCCTTGATGCTACCGATCCTACCCGGAGTTTACATCTTTGAGACCCCTACCCACCAATTCCATGTCCTACCCACCAAGGTAATTGAGATTTTACTACCCTACCTACTTCGATCTGTAACGTACCCGGTTGATATTCTGCGATGGGATTTGAATCCCTACCCGGTCCTTGGAAGACCCTACCCTTCAGTAATAAGTTACAATGAGCACCCTACCCCAGTGATTAGTCCCCCCGAACAGGCCACCCGCCCTCAGCAAGCCGCTGCAGCTCTTTTGGCCGGGCTTGAAGGCTTCCGGAACTTGGTCGGCCCACTTGCCAGTGTTGGCGGCAAGCTTTCTCAGGCTGCCCCGGAGGCCGGGCCCTGAGTCGGCGCCCGGCCCGCCCCCCGGGCGGGCATGCCCGGCCGCCACGCGGGGGTCACTGCGGGTCACGCTGTGCGGCCCGGCCCGGCGGAGCCTCGAAGTCAGTGGCCGGCGGCCGCGGCCGGCGGGGGGCCCGGCGCCCAGTGGCGGGCCGCGCGCCGCCGGGCGGCCGCTGCCGGGGCCCGGCGGGCCGGCTCTGTGGCTGTCACTGTCACTCACCGTGAGAGCCTGTGAGACTCCCGGTGCCTGGCCGCCTGGCCCCCCGCCGGCCGGCCGGGCGGGGCTGCCCCGGACTGAGCGTGGCCCCGGCCCAGCCTCAGTGCAGTGCCGGGCGGCCGGCAGTGACAGTGCGGCGCCGCGGTGGCAGTGCCACTGTGTGTTAGCCCGCTGAGCCGGGCTGCGGCCGGGCCGCGGGCCCGGCCGCGGCCGGCGGCTGACTCCCGAGGCTGGCCCAGTGGGCCGTACGCCGGGTGCAAAAGTTGCCCGGCCCGCCGCCGGGCCGCGCCGGCCGGGGCCACGGTCACTCCGGGCGAGTCCGGGCCCGCCGGCTACCGACGGTACCGTACCGGGCGACGCCGGGTCACCGGGTCGTGCAATTCCCTCAGTCACCTTCACCGCTGACTCAGTGAGTAAAAACTCATGGGGACGTGATGGGTCCCACCGGTGTTATTGGTGTGAATAATGGGGGTACTAAAAACTAAAATCCATTGCCTTTAAAACACTCAATATGAATAGGGGGTGGGTAGGGTAGTTTTCCCTATTTGGCAAAGGTTAGTGGGGTGATGGAAGGGGCTCATCGTGCGCGGGGTGGGAAGGAAAACAATCCTGAGGGGTGGTGGTATTTGAAAGAGAAAGAGGAGTGGATAGGTCTTCTGCATTAACGTCTTACCTATGAATTATCACTAATGATGTGATAGGCTTAAGTACGACTCTTCCCCTGTCCCTAAATACCCCTACCTCCCCCCCGCCCTCCCTTCAGAAAGAGCTCCCCACTAGGCATCGGTCAGGACACTGCTCTGCCTGCTCCGCCCACAACAGCTTCTCTGATCCTGCGCCACCAACTCTCCTCCTCCTCTCCTATTCTTTCTCTTGCCTGGCTCCTGCCGATCTATTTCTTTCTGCTGCACCTGCTGCGCTGAGTGCAGTCTGAAACCAGCAGTCCACCAGGCTGGCTTCTCCGTACAACAAGAAGCTTGAGCTTCTTCTGAAGCAAGATGAGCAGGATGTACACGGATCCTGTCTGTGCCCTCGAGTACGAGAAAAGGGCACAGCCGGCTGCTGAAAGAAAGCATGCTCTCCATAAGTATCTGTCATTGTGCAGCCCGAAACTTGTGGGGGTTGTCGCCGTCCTGTATCTTGCGCATGCTGTCAACCTGAACTCTGCTAGAAGCTTCAGCTCTCTGAACTTGCGAGGTGCAGAAGGTGAACGTTTAGTGAAGCCCATGTTCCTGTGTTACTTGATGAGTGTAGCAAAACTCCTCTGTGCTCCCTGGGCGAACATCCACACCGTCCGTGAATACTTTGGTGTGCCGCATCAGTTGCCAAAGTCAAGATATTGCCTGATTGCAGCCTCCGACATGGTTGCGCTGTACTTCGGTTTTCTGAGCTTGCTGTTCATCCCTCCCAGTGGCAGCTGGGTGCTTGTGGAGGCTGGCATCCTTGTGATCACAGCTTTTGGTTCAGCTTACATCACAAAGAAGTCGAAGATGACCCGGTACTTTGCGGGCTGCATAGCTGGAGCGTTGGTGGGGCTTTGCGCAACGACGCTGTCGCTGTCTCTGTCGGAGTCAAGCTTGGAGAAGAGTGTCGAACAAGACTTTCACCATGCCGAGCAAGGGAACGAGATCGTACTGTTTGGGATGCACGTGAAAGGCGAACTTTGGTTATGGGGAATACTGTTTTCAACGGGAAACGCAGTCGGCACAGCCACTGAGTGTCTGCTAGGAGAGCTTGGCTTCGTGGACGACGGTCTAGACCCCTGGTCTCTGAACGTGATCATTGGGTTGATACAAGGGTCTTGTTGGATCATCTTGTTGATCTTTGCTCAAATCTTGCCGGGATCGGACAACGGGTCGGTAGAGAGCACCGTCGACCTGATCGTCTCCGCCCGGCGGTACCCGATGATCGCCGGGCTGGTGCTGCTGGTTCTGTTCGGTGCCTTCGGCCGGACTGCGATCATGTGGTGGTTGAGACATCAGTATGGTATGATCCCTGCAAATATGATCGGGTCAGGCCGTGTCGTAGGCCTCTGGGTCTTCGGGATGTTTTTGGGGTTGATATACCCCGGACTTGGAGAGAGTTGGAGTTGGGCTGGTTCTCCCGTCCTGTTGCTAGGGTTTGCCTTCACTCTGGGGAGGTAGGGTCTATTCTTGCGATGTTGCATTCTCCCCTCACTCGTGTCTAGCTCCATCGCCTACATCGCGGAGAAGCATCGTATGGCTCTAGAAAACTACGAAAACTTCATAGGTATGTCCTGATCTTGTCGTCGTGGCTGGAGGGTCGTTGATGGCGGTAAGCAGAGCCAGATGGCATCGAGAAGGGAAGGAGCGAAGGCACCGAGCTAGCAGCTCGACCGGCCGAAGAGATTCAAGCCGATGCATGAAACCTTGTATGCCATGGAGGAAAATCTTGAAGTCTAGAAACCAAGCATCTCCGCCCTCGCTATCTTGTTCTGCCCCAGCAGCTTTGACTCTGCTCCTGGAGACTCGTTCAAGAAACTTGAGCCTGAACGGAAGCAGTCAAACTCTCGATCTGAAAAGACAAGGACGGGCTTCACCTTTCTTGAGAGACTCCCGCGCACTTCCAACCTGTAAAAAGTTCCTCTTCGTCATATGTCATACCTTTCAATGAATTCACAACACACCGGAAGTTCCTTGGCTTGTGACATGAGAGGGTTGAAACCCAAAGTGTCCTGAGCCTCCAACACTTGTTGCTGAGGAGGGAGTCAAAATATCCTTACAACACCAAAGGCAAAACAACGGGACGAACCTTGAAGGAGCTCCCAACAGGCGACATATTCACAGCCGATTGAGGCCTCTCCCATATCTTGCTATTGTAGACAGCTCCTCTCTTGGCATTGCTGCTGGATCTGATGCTTCCTTTGAGCATGTTGGAGTAGTTGTACTTGCTCTTTGCCGCCTGGCAAGGGAAGGGACAAGCGGAATCAGATCATGCGTCCACATGTGAAGCTTTCAGCACCTTGTCTTGGGTTTGCGACCCCCAAAACCACGAGATGCCGGTCTTCTTCGGCTTCGAGAATCGTGCCTTCTTGGAAATCCCTCCGAACATCTTGAAAGCTTGCTTTCTCTCATTCTCTCTCTCGGATTCCCTAGGAGACGTCAGCACTGTTGAAACGTAAGAGGATTTTCTTGACCTGCGACGATCCTCGTTATCTTGGTACAGTCTGTAGGTAGTCGGTCTCACGCCCACTACGCGGACGATTTTCGATCCGAATGGTGTGCCTGCGTTGGTTGTGAAAGATTAAACAATGAACGGGAAGTGAAGGACATGACGTTGAAAGAATACCTGGAACCCCTTCGTCCACTACGCACTTCACATTCCGCTTTGTTCGAGCAGCCTTATTCTCACGGATCGGAAAGATTTTCAGCTCAGAGGGTTCCTTGTCATCCTTGCATTCGTCTTTGATCTTGACAGTGATGTAGGATGGTTCCTCCAACTCAACCTTCTCTACCTGAAGACAGTACAAGAGTCAGCTAGGGAGCAGGGATTGGTCACATGACAACTACAATTTTCTTCTCTTGCGCTCCCCTTGCAGTCTCATGAACGACAAGCTGTTTTCGACTAAGACAATGTTAATTGCGGGTGTCAAAAAGACAAGAAGGAACCTTTCAGTGTTGTTCTTTGCCAGGTAGGACACGATGTTGTGGAACAATCCTCCAACAGTTGGCAGCGCGAACTGGTTCTTTGTCTGAGAAGATGAAACTTCAGCACTGAACTCGATTTGTTTGCTTCTTATCAATTGAAATGAGACGTAAGTAGAGTGTCAATACCACGTTCTCCGGCCCCAACTGTTGACTCGGCATCAAAGGCGACAAGGCATGGGGCGAATCCTCGCTCGGCTGCGTCAACGGCAAAAAAAACGTTTCAATTGTCAATCCTCGTGACTACTCTGGAGACAAACACCTTGATCGTAGCATGGCTGTCGTTCACGTTCTCTGCTGATAAGAAGTGAGTCAAGCCTGCAAACTCATATCGGGCATCTCGGCTAACCTTTAGCTTCCTTGATGGGTGACAACTCTCCTAGAACAGATGTTCGAATCAAACGTAAGATCCCAAGTCCCATCCTCGTCAGCCCTGATGGTTGCGATGGCACTTCTTCCTGCGGGCACTCTTCGTCTAAGCCAGGAGCATTCGAAACCAGCTCGTCATCGCTGGGATCTGCGGTGGAAGGAGCAAAGGAGCCATCATCGACTGCGGGTGACAGCAGTGAGACAGGATGATTGCACGGACGACTGCGATCAGACGTACCTCCTTCGCTACCTTCATGATTCATCGTGTCATCTTGCATGATGGTGGAGTTTGGTACATCCCACTTCACGCTGATGCCCTTCGCCCCGCCTGTCTGGTTGTGTAGGGGCGGAAAGATCCTGTCAACTTCAGGGTCTCTGCAGCTGTCGTACACTTGTTGACTGTCTTCGACGTCGGTGAACTCTGACTTGTAGTCTGTCTCTGCCTCACTGAGCATCAGGTTTGATTCCGAGTTCATCTGGCTGTTCTCCGACCGAAGGCGCTTCGACTCTTTCTTCGCCTTCCTGGCTGACGCCCCGTGCGAACGCGATCCCTTGGACACGTTCACAAACTTGACGGTCCTGCTTCCTGTCTTGGAGGAGGCGTTGGAAGCTGCAGCCGCAGGCTTCACTGCCTCCAGGGTCGTCTCCCTCCCCGACGCCTCCGACGCTTCCTCGCGCTTCCCGCGCCCCCTGGGAGTTCGGGCGAGTCGAGTTCTGTTCGACTTGGAAGGAGTTTTCGGCGTGTCAGCACGCGAGTAGACTTTCTTGAAGACGATCTCCTCGAACCCCAGCCTCCCCTCCTTGTTGGGCCGTGGAACCGCCCCCCTGCGCTGCGAGCAGGATTCGGGAAGGGCGCATCCCAAGATGGCCAGCAAGGCGAACCATCGGAGTTGATGCGCGCACACCAACATCTCGACAATGATCTCCTAGCACCAAGAGGCTTCTACAGCTTGCAGCCTTAGCCCCTGCAGCCTGGTCGGTATCGGACTATGCCGTTTCCACGTGGCAAGGCCCCCCTCCGGGTCGGGACCGCCAGACTGGCAGGTCCTAACAGATCTCTCTCCTCTCCGTGCACAAAGGAGGAGGTCACTCCTTCACTCCTTCACTCTCCTCCACTCTCCTCCAACTCCACTGCTCCATGACCCTCCTCGGCCCCTCCCACGATCCGGATTCCTCGCCGCACACCACCACAACCAAACGCTCTCCTCAGCTCCTCGCTTCCCCCAAACATCCCTCGGAGGGTCCGAATTTCGTGCCGTTGTCGACGATTCTTTCCTCTCCTCTCCTCTCCTCCTCTCCTCGTGTGTCCGTCGCTTCCTCCTCGCTTCTCATCTCCCCTCCGCCGCCATTGCTACTACCCTTCCCATTGTTACCCACCTCCCCGCACGATTTCAAGTTACTTGATCAGTGAAGTGATCGCAAAGGTCCGGCCGGGCCCTGGGCCGGGCCGAGGGCCGGCAGGTCATTGAGGGGATGAGGGGTCTGGAATAACGGCTGGGGGCAGGGCTGGACTTTTGGGAGCGGGAGGAACAATGAAGAGAGGAGCGAAGGGAACAGTTCTCCTGCCTCCCTCCCTCCGTCTCTCCTTCTCCTCCATCCTTGCTCTAGTGGGAGAGCTGATGCATGGCAGATGAGTGAGATGACAGACATGAACAGTGGAGGAGGAGGGAGAGGAGGTGGGAGGAACTTTGGAGGGCGTACCGGGTTGGCAGTTCAGCCGAATGGCTTCGATTATGCCGAGTCTCCGCGTCAGGCAATTGAAGCACAGACGTCCTCCAGCAAGGTAGAGAAGAGACTCACCTTTGAGCCCTCGATCATTGCAGTTGCGGCTTCACCGAGCCATCAAGTCCAGCTGGACATTGGAAGCAAGGTACGGCCAAACAAACATCACCTCACAGTCATGCATGTGGAAGTGAAGTTCTCTCCCCCCAGAGTTCTGAAACGTTGGGCGCTGAAGTCTCCTCTCCCTCCACCATCCTTGGTAGCTCGCAGAATATCAGCACCTTGGAAGGCGAGCCGAGCATGGACAACAGTCTCAACATAAGTTCGTCTGCAGCGGTATAGCACGCGAACATTTGTTGCCTCTCTCTTTCCTCTTCAATCTCAACTTTCTCCTCTCCCTGCACCTCCTCCTGCTCTCTCTTTCCCCTCCTGCTCTTTCCTCTCCCCTAACTCCCGTGTCTTTCTTTCTCAGACGACCTCGATTCTTGCGAAGAGGAAGAGCTCGCGGAAGGACCTGATGATTCAGGTCGAATCGGATGGGGCCGACACTCCCTCCCCTTCACGAAACTACAAGGGAACTCCTTTCCCTCGTGCAGCACGCGAACAGGAGGCTCTTCCAGACGAGCTGTCGGACCCGCAGGAGGAAGAGCTTGACGGCACATTGCCGGAAACGGAGCTGCCTGGGAGGGACTGGCGGGAGCGATATGGCTCCTCTCAAGATGTGCAGGTTGGTGAGACGCCTGTTGTTTGTAGCCTGACTCCTTGTTGTCCAGATCGAGAACGGGGAGGAGGAGGAGGAGGAGGAGGAGGAGGAGGAGGAGGGGGAGGGGGAGGAGGGAGGGGGGGAACGAGAAGCCTGCTGGGTTGCAGAGCCCCTGAGGTTCTCTGACTTCCTTTCAAGCTGCAACGGGAGGCGATCGGGCGATGGATGGACCGAAGCTCCTCGTCTCGACCCTTGACCGCGATGTGCGTGAGAGGAGAGATG